GCACTGCCAGAGCCCTACAAAATGACCTCCAGCAGGCCACTGATTTGAATGACTCTGACCAAACAATCAGAAACAGTCTTCATGAGGGTGGTCTGAGGGCCCAACCGACGTCCTCTAGTTGGCCCTGTGCTCAGTGTCCAGCACCATAGAGCTCGATTGGCATTTGCCATTGAACACCAGAATTGGCAGTTCTACCACTGGTGCCCTGTGCTTTTTACAGATGAGAATAGGTTCACCCTGAACACATGTGACAGACATGAAAGGGTCTGGAGAAGCCATGGAGAACGTTATGCTGCCTGTAACATCATTCAGCATGACCATTTTGGTGGTGGGTCAGGGATGGTCTGGTGAGGCATATCCATGGAGGGATGCACAGACCTCTACAGGTTAGACAATGGCACCCTGACTGCCATTAGGTATTGGGATGAAATCCTTGGACCCATTGTCAGACCCTACACTGGTGCAGTGGGTCCTGGGTTCCTTCTGGTGTATGACAATGCCCGGCCTCATGGGGCGAGAGTATGCATGCATTTCCTGAAGGATGAAATAAGTGACACCATTGAATAGCCCCCACACTCGCCTGACCTAAATCCAATAGAACACTTCTGGGATATCATGTTTTGGTCCATCCGACGCCGCCAGGTTGCACCTCAGACTGTCCAGAAGCTCAGTGATGCCCTGGTCCATATCTGGGAGGAAATACCCCAGGACACCCTCTGTTGTCTCAGTTGGTGCATGCCCTGACGTTGTCAGGTATGCATACAAGCACGTGGGGGGTCATACAAACTACTGAGTACCATTTTGAGTTGCTGCAATACCTCTAGTAACCACATACAACCCAGCTCTAGAAGGAATAAGAAAAATAATCAGAGATTTACAACCCATCATAACAGAGGATGGAACGCTGAAAGAAATATTCCAGCAAGCCCCAAAACTGGCTTTCAGACAACCCCCCAACCTCAGAAATAAACTAATCAGTAGGAAACTTCCTTATGATTATGAGGTCACAAATAATGGAAGCAAACCCTGCAATAAAAAACGCTGCAAACTGTGCAACCAAATCAATCCATCAAACAGTGTCAGACACTCAAAAGGGATCTTCAATATCTCCGGATCATACAGCTGCACCTCCAGTAATGTTGTGTACCTTATCCAGTGCAGAAAATGCAGCAAAGGATCTTATGTTGGTGAAACAGGACAGAGGTTGCAAACAAGGATGAATTTGCACAGACATACCATGAAGGAACATAAAGAAGATGACCTTTGCACACCTGTGGGACACCATTTCGCACAACTGCACCACACTATGGAAGACCTCAATATTTTAGTTCTTAAAGGAAATTTCAAAACTATTCAGAAAAGGAAAACTTTTGAACTAAGAATATTTCTATTTGCCACAATAGATAATGGCCTTAATTTGGACATGGGATTCCTCACTCATTATCCAACAGTTTTACGACCCCCTCTGTGAGTGCTGTTCCCTCCCCCCCAGTCTTTGCTTTTGCTGTGTCTTATCTCTAGTCTTATCCTAGTTTTTTATAACCATTGCTGTGTACATTTGTGTGTGTGTGTGTTTCTTTCTGTTTTTTTTTTTTTTTTTTTTTTTCTCCCCCTTTCAACATCTCTTTTAACATTCTGCTAAAACTTTGTGAAGTAGTACTGCCTGGACCTTGAAGAAGGGGACATACCCCGAAAACTTGTCCTTAAAATTGTATGTTAGTGCAAATAAAAAAAGTATCACGTCAGTACTCAATTGTTTCTGTCGAGTTGCTGCAATGAAATTTCAGCAAAATGGACTAGCCTGCTGCATCATTTTTTCACTTTGATTTTCTGGATGTCTTTGAATTCAGTTAATATTTTTCATTTCCATCAAACAATGGGGCATCCTTGCATTCCTTATACATTACCCAGTCCATGTGAGGTGCTGCAATGAAATTTCAGCAAAATGGACTAATTTTCGATTTCATCAAATGATGAGGCATCCTTGCGTTCCCAACACATTACCCAGTCCATATCAGTATAAATATCCAACATGATATTTTTCCACATTGAAATCTGATGTGTTTTAAAGTGTTCCTTTAATTTTTTCTTTGAGCAGTGTATTTCATTGGTATTAACAACCATTTTTACTGAATTAAACTGACTCATTCAGTCTTTCCCATGTGACCGCTGTAACCAATCACAGCTAACAACACAGTTGTTTACAAGGATGGCATGAAAGCAAGCCATCCATTGTATACAATTGTCATGTGATCTGCTGTAATTGGTCACAGCAGTCACATGACACTGGCAGCGGGCTGGTGTAGTGATCTGTCATCAGCTGTGTCCTGTGAACATAGCCGGTGATAGATTGCGCCGCTCCGCAGCCCCTTGATCGGCACCTTCTGACAGGATGTCATATGACGCCCACTCAGGAGGAGGAGTGTCCTGCCATCCGTCTGCTATAGGCTGGGTCGGAAGGTGTTAAAGTGATTGTTATTTAAAAAAAAAAAAAAAAAAAAAAAAGCCTTTACCAAACATGTTATAGTTACCTGCTCTGGGCAGTGGTTTTGCATAGAGCAGCCCTGATCCTCCTCTTCTCAGGTCCCCTGCTGGCTCTCTTGGCACCTCCCTCCTACCAATTGCCTTTAACAAGTAGCTTGCTATGGGGGACCTGAGCAGACTCCCTCCCAAGCCACTGCTGTGTGTTCATTCACACACAGACATGGCTCGGCCCTGCCCCTGCTCTCTTCACATTGACTCACGGGGTGATTGACAGCCATTGGCTCCCGCTACTGTCTCAGACGATTAGGATGGAGAGACCCGGGACAGCTGAGGCTCTTCTGCACATCGCTGGATCAAGATCGGGTCAGGTAGGTGTTAGGTGAGCTACTGCACATATAAAGTTTTTTTTTTTTTTTCTTCCCTTCATGCATAGAATGCATGAAAGTAAAGAAAGCTTGAACCTTTACAACCACTTTAAAGTTATCACAAGAACAAGAGGTGGGGGTACATTTTCCAGTAGGTACATCTGTTCTGGTGGCAACTGTCTATGTATGGAATTTCTCTTATGCTGTAGAGATTTCCTAATCTTTCCTACTCTATCCAAAGCTAAAGAAACCAGGTTCTGCAATACATACAATTTAAGTGTTGGATTTTCGATCCAAGGAAATTTTTGACTACTCCTTCATGCAAAATTCTTTCAGTTACAAAATGTTTGTGCGTTTCCTTGTATGAAGTGCCCGTTTCAAATTCCCTACAAAATTTCACTGGGATTCAAGTCAGGCCGCTATCTAGGGCAGGCCGGGTCTTTGCCTACATGCTCAATAAGAGACTGTAATCTTGCTGTAATTTTCTTTTCAGGCAGTAAAGGTTTATTTTTCCTAACACACCTCCCATGGAGGTTAAATTTGTTCAGTCTCATTCTGCAGATCCCACAGTGACATTTTAGGGTACTTGGAAGACTTGTTTTGGCCCCAAACAGGCAGGTCTTGGATTGAATTTCCAGAAAAAATGATCAGTTGTTTTGAAATCTGCGCCACTTGTAGATTATTTTCCTTTGAGTGGAATGTTTGGTTTAATTTAACTTGGTGATCTTTTAAATCCCTTGCCAGACTCATAGGCATCCATAAGTTTTTCTGAGGGTCCTAGAGAGCTCTATATGGCCTGGCAGTACTAGGGTCGTTGGTTTGAATCCCAGCCACGGCACCACCGGTCTGGAGTTTGCATGTTCTCCCTGTGCCTGCGTGGGTTTCCTCCGGGTACTCCGGTTTCCTCCCACACTCCAAAGACATGCTGGTAGGTTAATTGGATCCTGTCTAAATTGGCCCTAGTATGTGTATGTATGAATGTAAATTAGGTACCTTAGATTGTACACCCTTGAGAGTTAGGGACTGATGTGAATGTACAATATATATATATATATATGTGTAAAGCGCTGCGTAAATTGACCGTGCTATATAAGTACCTGTAATAATAATATTAGTGTTAGCTGATTGAATTGATGGTTTCTCATATTGCAAAGGGAATTCAGAGGCTAGATATTCCCACGAGACCAGACATTTCATAAGCACTGGGTGACTAATTTGGCCCACATACTGTAAAATAAAAGGATGTTGACTCCAGCAAACAGCTGATTTGCATGCTCTTGGTGTACATAGTGTTCTGATACTGCACAGACAGTTTTGGTGTTCTATGGTAACATACTGGGGATTAGGGAATTCCTGCTTAAAGAAGCAGAACTTGCAAAACACTTGTGGAATCCCTTAGGGAGCCGAGTTCATGTAACAGTCAGTCCTATTTAGAATCCTGTTAGCAAATAAAAGTGCATCTTTTTTTCTGCTTGTGCTGACTGTAGCTCTATCCTAGACTGAACCCCTATTTATGGGTGTTTCTATGTGAGAGCTACAGCATAGCAATAACCAACATATTCTCTCCTCTTTGTACTAGATGTGTAGGAAAGAAAACCTTGCATACAGTACATTGAAAGAATAGGCACCTACCAAATATTCTCTGCAGTCATCCTATGTAAGATCATCATTCATCTGTGACTGTGCATCTGTATCTATGGCTTCACTTTCTCTGTGTGCCTGTCACTCACCATCAGTTCTCAAATGCCAGCACTGTGTATGTCTCCACCCCCCTCCTCTGTCAGTCACATCTAATTTTGTGATAGTCTCTCACAGCAAGCTGCCCACCATGCTAGCTCAGCATGCACAACGTCGATTAAAACCTTACAAAGTGCTGCATGTACAGTATTAACAGGATGAACTACATATCTTTCTGATTAGACTTCTTTAAGTTTATCATTCACTCACAGTATTTACAATTATATAACATTTTGCTCTATTATATTTAGGGAGATACCAAAAGGAACCACAAGAGGTGAATTCCTTACTCAGATTTGGTATCACCATACACTTGATTTTATAATCACACTTTTTGAACTAAATAATTTTATATATATATATATCAACTAAATAATTATATATATTGTTGCTATATATCACTTTTGTCAACAGGCATACAAAAACCTGTACTGGAATCATCATATCAAAACTTTGCAGTATGTAAAACAGGACAATTACTGTGTTCTTAGAGCTGTCATGTTCCAAGTGTTTAGTCAAGGAATGCCCTTTCCTGGATGGATGAAAGAAAAGGATATCCTAAAGGTATTTCAGTTTTAGTATTTTCACAAGGCAAATAAAATCTTTTACATATCATAACATGGGTTGACTGTAATTTTTTCCATCATTTTCAATATGAACAAAACTTAGCCAAGTATCTGCATAGGAAACAACTTTGTAAAGGTGCCAGAACCTGGTCAAGCACAGAGGAATAAAAGTGGTGGTGATGGAGAGGATGCGGATAAGGTTTTATCCAACTTATAGTGGTCCATTGAGAAGTGTTTGCTGTATTCCTCAACGTCACATGGGTATCCAGGCAGTGTTGCCCCGCTGGAGCCAGAATCAATAACATCAGATCCTCTTACTCATAGATATCTGATATTTGTGTTGTCTAGAGATTCCCGGGTTCACAGACATTTGTCATGACATGTAGGTGGATGGGTGGAACAAATGAGCACTGTGGGGGTAATGGAGCAGCATGGTAGTGTGGGTAGCAGGTGTGGTAAGTAAATACTTTCAACTTTAGGCCTGGTTCACACTAGTGTGATTTCAGTTGTGCCTTGAGTGACACAGAATCAAATGACAAAGGAAATCAAATTGTTTTTAATGGTGTCCATTCACATTCCTAGATTGTAAGCTCCAAGGAGCAGGGCCCTCGAACCCCCTTGTGTATTTTATTGTATTGTTACTGTATTGTCTCCCATTGTAATGTACAGCGCTGAGCAAACTGTTGGCGCTATATAAATGCTGTGTAATAATAATTATTGCAACTCAGCACAGTGATTTTGGAAAAGGTTCCTGTACTACTTTGGTGTCATTCCAGTGCAATTTTGGCCCCATAGAAAATACAAAACATATCAAAGTAGCACTACATAATTGCATTTAAAGTCCAAGAAAAATCATATGGCAGCAGTATGAACCTAGCCTTACATGCACATTTTGAAATGGGGACTTTAAGTTAGGTGACAGTGGTGGGGGCTTGTGGGCCCCAGTATTATTAGTCTAGTTTGCTATGACCCCTGTAGTCATGGTTCTGTATCCAGTCATCATAAAGATGTACTGGTTGTAAATTTACTGAAACGCAGCACACTACTGTGTTATTATGACACAGTCTATATCTGCGCATCTAGAGTAAGTGGCTCTATTTGTGGCAATCCTTTAGACAGCAGTCTATATCTAAGGCTGTTCGATATATGTTTAGTTTCAATAGTATGGAGGAGAGTGGTGTAGCAAGTTTGAAACAATTTTGTTTCTGTTTATTATTTGAATAGCTTCCTGAAAAGCTTCTATATTCTCAAGGATGTAATTGGATACAACAGTTTAGCTTTGGACATGAGAAGTACACAGGTCCAAAGGTCTATGGAAAACTGCGAAGCTGTCTAGAAAGCTTCAAAAACCAGGTAAGTGCACTTTTTAAAACCTGATTTGAATTGATTGATACATTGGTATAAGCAAAGATCTATACTCAGACAAAAAAGTTAATAAAAAAAAAACAAAAAAAAAATAAAAACAGGCAGCTTTTTCTGCTGTCACTTTTATATGTTTCTATACAATTACTACTTTATGCCTTATGATGGTATTGACACCAGTTTAACCACTTGCCAACCAAACTATAGCCGAAAGACGACTACAGCGCAGTTGTCCACTTCTGGGAGGGTTTCCATGGAATTCTACACTGATAATCAGGGCACTGATTATCAGTGCCACTCAGCAGTGTCACCTATCATTGCCCAGCAATGCCGCACGTCAGTGCTACCACTCAGTACCTCCAGTCAGTGCTAACAGTCAGTGCCGCTCATCAGTGCTGCCTATCAGTACCGCCTATTAGTGCCCATCACTGTTGCATACCAGTGCATCATCAGTGCCTCCTCATCAATTTCCACCAGTGCTACCTTATGAGCACCACATCATCAGTGCCACCTCATTAGTGCTACCTATCCGTGCCACCTCATCAGTGCTACCTATCCGTGCCACCTCATCAGTGCCCATCAGTGCTGCCTATCAGTGCAGCCTCATCAACGCATATCAGTGAAGGAGAAAAATTACCTGTTTGCTAAATTTTTATAATAGATACAAAGAAAACCTTTTTTTCACATTTTTTGCTCTTTTTTTGTTTATAGTGCCAAAAATAAAAACCAGTGGTGATTAAATACCACCAAAAGAAAGCTCTATTTGTGTGAAAAAAATTATAAAACTTTCATGTGGGTACAGTGTTGCTTGACCGCCCAATTGTCATTCAAAGTGCAACAGCACTGAAAGCTGAAAATTGGCCTGGGCAGGAAGGGGGTAAAGTGCCCGGTAGGCAAGGGGTTAAATAATACAAAAGGGTTTATTGAATAAAATAGTGCAAAGAGCTGAGCAAAATGTAGTAAATGAAAACTAAACAGATTGCCATATACTAAAGTCAGATAAGTGACTGGTGCCATTTGCCTTATTAATTATTTCTGTTGCCCATATCCGTTGAGGTCAGCAAAAGCAAACAGAATAAGTCCTGTGAATGCAGAGAGAGAGAGAGGAGATAGCCGCTACAGCCAGGCACAGCGCTGGATTGAGTGAGGACTCGGGTAATTATTTAGGATGGGAAGGCTTATACAACTACTGGGATATTTTTTTCCTTAATGCAGGGAGTGCATTAAGGTAAAAATGTATAGCTTTTACAACCACTTTAAACATAAAAGGGTTTGTTTTGTATTTAGTGAAGCTCTCATACCACTAAAGGTCTTGGCAGATAATCTTAGTTGCCAAAGTGATGTAGGTATTACATTCCTAAAGTGGTTGTAAACTCTTACATATACCCAGTTAAGTTGTACCTGCCTTTCTGCGGTCTTCTCTTTACATCCATTCAAAATCCAGAATTTTAAAGCTTGTCTGAGTGCTCAGCAAAAAGGGGATGGAGAGCTGAATTTACAGACACACTTCCCTCCACACAGCTCACAGGAACAGAGCTGAGACTGTCACTCTACTGGAGGTCCCTCCGTTGTCACCATTTTTCTCTTGGTGTCGGGGAAAACGTCTCAGAAGTGACTCATGCTGATAGCAGAGGAACAGGGCAGCAGTCAGAAATCATATTTGGTGCTCTTAACTGAAACAAGTATACACCATAGAGGGATACCCTTTGTTCATATTTCATGCCTGAGGTTTACAACCACTTTAACTGAACAATAGGCTTAGTTTCCTAAGCAGCACAGAATGCCACTTTAGATTTGTATTTAGGTGTAGTAATCGTCATCGTTTTGTGATGTTATTAGATGGGCAGAGAGTAAATTGGGAAATAGTGTAAGTGTTCTACTATCTACACTGGCTGCAAATAAGAACTGTCTCTGAATCATTTATTGTATACAAAGGCTATAAGTATTAGCCTGATACTTTGTGTGCATATGATCATGATCATCGCAGGTAATTGTTGGCTGTGCCAACAGTCACAAATAGCTGCTATTCGCATGCATCTGTCATTTCCAGCCCCATGAATCTGCAGGTCCTTGCCGCTGGAATTCATAGCGTGTAAAAATGCAAATGAAGGCTTACCCTCTGCAGTAAGACTGCAAACTGGGGATTGTCTCAATAAATTTTTAATAGAATGGAATAAAAGTGGAATTGTAGATCTTAATGGTAGAGATGCACGGTGGTTTAAGCACATCACCTCAGCAAATGATATTATTGCAGGGTAGTTAAAAGGCAGATTAATTAAATGTTATTGAGCTAAACATTTTTCTAATAGACACCATTAAGGCCTCCTTCACATGGGCTCACTTAAGCATACATAGGAGTTCCCAGCATCCCTGTGCAGGCAATCCCATTCATGTCACTTGGGAGGCAGCTGTTGGATGGACACAGATGATACTCCAAATTGACATCCGTTCGGGTTTGTGCAGGTCTCTGAACGTACATGGTCTGCGTTCAGGGACTGTGTATCCCCGTGAAGGCAAACAAGGCCCTGTTATGGTCATACACTTAAAGCAGAGTTCCACCTGAAAAAAAAAGTCAGCAGCTACAAAAACTGTATCTGCTGACTTTTAAAATACAGACACTTACCTGTCCCTCGGTCCAGCGGTATCTTAACCACAGCTGGTTTCACCAGCCGTCTTCTCTCCCTGGCGCTGACATCTTCAGTGTGGACATCCGGGGCGAGAAGCGCTGTGCTTTGTGAATGGCCCCGTAGTCTTCTGGGACCTGTCACGTGCCCCAGAAGACCACAGGGAGGAAGAGGTGAGGACAACTTCTGCTTACGATCGCCTAGGCAACCTGTCAAATTTGGGTACCCGCTCCCCAAAGGTGCCAATCCTTAAAGCAGAACTTCCCCTTTTGGGTGGAGCTCTTCTTTAAGTACGCCCATGTGAACAAGGCCTAAGGATAACATTTTTCATGCAGTTATGCACTATTTATAGCAAAGAGCTTTGCAAAACATGCACATCATCAAAAGAAAAAACTCTGCCTATGGTCTGGGAACTGTTTCTTGCACTTTGTAAAGGATGCCATCTGCGTACAATAGGAGACTTGCTGTCATGATACAAGTTGCATTAGGTTTATTTCATAGAGTGGAATGAACACACTATACTGAGTTGGTTACAGAACCCTTCAGCACTTGCCATTTCACAAAAAAAATTGCTATTGTAATAGAATGAACATGACATAAAATGTTTCTGCATTGCAAATTACTGTATGTTGTTTTATAATATTTTGTTATGCTTTAGTTTTGAATGGGAAACTGACTACCAGCATGTTTATATGATCAACTCCTATGATGGAGGATGGGAGCAATGTGTCAACTCATTACTGGCTGTATCTAGTATATCCAGTAACTTTGGAATAATTTTTTGTTATAAGACAATATGTGTAAAATATGCAGAAGTAAAACACATACACCATTAAAACAGCCATTACTGAAGATTGGTTAAACCATTTCCTCATCTTATTAATACTGTTTAAACTTTTTCATTTATTTAATTAGGAATAAATGTAAAGAGAAAAATGCATTTTACAATTTTTTTCCTTTAATGTAAATGTCAGATGTTTCAAAGAACCATATTTATATTGCTCTCTGACTACAGGAATGTCTCACAAGTGTCATTTTTATGTCAAGTTGCAGAAGCCCATATGTAGAAATAGCTGCAGTCATATTTCGGACTTGGGTAGCAGAAAATATCCCTTTTGAAGTGAAAGATTCCCTAGCTAGCAAACGTCACCAAGCCTAAGGTGCCTGATGATGTTTGTGCCCAAAAGTTCAAAGGTGTTACTTCATATGGCTTACAAGAAATTCAGATACAGTTTTAGCAAACAATTTCAGCATTGGCCTGGGTTGTAGCATTACCTGTTTGCAGCACCTTAAAGTATTGATAACCCAAAGGGTCACAATTACATGGTATTCATTACCATCAGATGATCCATGTCCAGATGTATGATGCTGTATGAAAACAAATTTACCTAAAGTGTATTGACTTAGTAGTTGCCCTTTAAGTACAATGCACTAATCAGTAACTGTCATTGTAATCCTGTAAACAAGGTGGGTGATTAGTAAATCTGTCTCTTCATTGCATGCTTTATATTCTCTTACAGCCAAAAGGTGAGACAAACATACTTAATACAAACACAGTTTTATACTGGAAAGTGCCAAAGTCAATTGGAGTAAAATAAAACAGTCAAAGCTACTTTCTTACATTGATTATAACCTTAGAAACACCAATGCATGTGTTTGAAGCTTAGCTACGACAATATATATATATAATTTCTCTAATTCTCTTTCTATCAGCAGAGCAGATAGCCTAATGCACATTCATTATTGACTGGGCCAGGTACTTATCCATCCCAGTGTCTGCAGTTTCACTCAGTAATAGCAATGCAGGTTGCGTGTCCTGAAACCAACCTGACTGGTTGTGTCAGTGCCTGTTGCAGGCTGCTTTAGGGAAAGGTACAAGAATTCACAGGTACAGGTCTTAAAAGGCTTACAGCTGAGCCGTTATTTCCCCTCATCATCCAGCTAGCGATGTTCAGGAGGGAAGGTGCCATGTCTGTCCTAGGAGATTCCAGCCAGTTACACCATTTAATGGCACATACCCTTTCAAATGATATATAGTTTCTTCTGATTGATATTTTCCTGAAACTGTAATAAAACATACAGGGAGGGAATTCAATAAAGCTGCCACAACACTTTTCTGGTGTTAATCACTCTTCTAAAGGTATTGCGCCAAATTCATGAAGTAAATATTACACTTTTGGCTCTGACAGCAACTCGTGCACCAAATTCCAAAATGCACCACTTTTACATTGAATGGAACAAAATGAATTGTGTCGCATTCAATGTGACAAATTCTAAAATAAAATAGAGACAGTATGTATCTCACGAAAGTGGAGCTAATTAGGATTAACTCTCTTTTGGCCTACATAGATAAATTAGTGCAAACAG